CATTATACATTTATATATATTTATTATTTTTATTATATTGACTTTTCAGCTGTGCCTGGCTAACAATACACAAGTTACAATGACACGGCACACTTGCTCTCATGTTACCACATCAAATATTATAAAACTGACCTGTAGTATTTACAAAATGACCTGTCTTAGCTGTATTTTAGTGGACTAGTATTTTGTAAAATACAGTCACATTTCAATTATTAAAAATTATACATGTATATAGATTATTACTATTTACAAATAAGATCTTAAACTTATATTTCTTAAAACATAGAACACTAAATAATGAAGTAAAGCAAACAATTATCTCTTCTAGTTACGACCTTCATACTCGGTTGCTGTTTGTCGTAGGTTGCTAAGCCTTTTAAAATTTCGCACATGGAGGATATGAAATAAAATACATTTTTAGGTTTTATATATACATGTATATTTATAAATATCTGAAAAGAAACGTGTTGTAAATATTCATTATTACACTATGTTAAGTAAATCACCGTTACATTATAAATATGTTAGCTTTTATATTTTAGTATCATAAATATGCTGTTTATTAAAAATAAGAAAAATACTTGTAAAATGATGTGTGTACTGATGTATAAAATAGAAAATCCAGATACTGCTCCTGCTGTATTAAAAATATTAAACAGCATATGTTCATTGCAAGTACAGTATAAGATTTTAAAAAGAACACTTGTATCCATCAACCTATAGGTTTTAATGTTCCTTATTTATTTTGAGTAAAATATGAAAGAACCATATATATATATTAGCAAGTCATTATAAAATATATAAACTTAAGTTAATGTTTTACGACATACCCCGATTCAGGTAATAAGTAAACTCCAGCATCAACACTGAGACTTGGTGAAGCCTTGTAAACTGTCTGAGGTTTAACATTAGTTGCTGTCTCTTGTGCATAGTTATGTGCACTCTGCAAAATAAAATTCCAGTGAATTATGCATATTGTGCAACCAAATGAAAAACATTAAAATTTGTGCACTTTAAAACTTCAGGGATGTATGTGATGTTGTGCAACATTCTTTACACTCAAGTAACATATATTAACATTTTTATTTAAATTTAAATCACATAGCCTGTAACATATGAATGTTGTATATATTACGTAACAACAGATGGAGTTCAATTTGATATTAAAACACAAGTGTAGGTTTTATTCATTTCATACCACAAGATCATGGATTGTTGCAATCAGAATTTTCTGAATTTGAATTTATCACACATCAAAATAAACAAAATCAGCAAGTTTGTATTTTAAAGTCAATGGTTGAAAACTATGATTCACAGAAACAGGACTTGTCACCTTCTTACACCCAGATATTACTTCAAGCTTACATACATGTACTAGTTAAAAATCTAATATCATACTAGTATTCAAAAGCAACTGTTTAGTGAAATATCTTTTCATATCCTTGATGATAATTTTTAAAGGCAGTTTATTTTTCAACATACAGTTTCACTACATCACACTAAGTTTTTCAATGTTTAACCATTTAAAGGTCATAAAAACAATAATTATTTTCTTGCCAATTCAAATGCATCAACCAAGACATTAATGACTGTACATTGTTTAAACTAAATACATTTCAGTGTTTAATTGACACGGCAAGATACTAAAAGAGAGAAATACAACACCATGTGCATCTACACTACAAGTTCCATTTCATCTGTGCACAAGTATATGTATAAACTACTATATTTACAATGAAACTGATATGAACAATGCATTTTGTGTGTTATAAGAAAAAACTTAAAATGCAACTTCCAAATCATTATGAAATTCGGACATTTTTTAAATTGAATTTCATTAATACCCTTTTCCGATATTTTCACAACATATAAAACATATGCATATAACACACACACAAACAACTTTCAACCAACTTTATTTGGGTTATGATTTTAAAGTCACATTGAAAAAAAGGGGGGGGATTAAAAAGTGGCGCAAACTCTTGGTCTATAAAGTTACTTCAAACACCCACCTGAAACAAAGTAGTGTCAGGTTGTACATTTATGGTTTATTCAAGGTCAGACACATTTACCTTATCAATTAACTTATCAAGAGAAAGTTCACAAAGACAAGCATATGCTAAATCTTATTCACGAAGCAGAATATTGCTTAAACATGGCAGAATAACTTATTCAAGTACATGCTCAGTGTAATGAAAAAAGAAAATAGTATGGAAAACTTCCACTATGTGCTCATTAATTCTAAATTGTTCCATGGAGATAAACATGCTAAGCAATCTCACTAAACACTTTGATCAAATGTTTAACCTTACAGACACATTTCTTACATTACACAGCATTTAGTAAAGCTGAAATTTGCAAATATCATTAGAAACTCCACATTATACTAGATGTACTTCAGCAGGGTCCCCGAGTGTTCTGTTTCAAGAGTAAATAAAAGTTTAAATCAAAATTAAGAGTAACAAATATATTTATTTCTTGCTCTTCAAGTTCGTATGTCATGCTGTGTTGTAGCCTACAGAGTGCATAATTCTTCTTGTGATTCACGGCATGTGCATATTTCACTTACATCATAAAAGTACAAATTGCAACATGAAGCATCCCTTATGTGACATCATTTTAGTGTCTACTGATTGACTGGCTGACAGACAACACACTACTGTATACTGGTGATAGTGGTTAAAACAGGTGACCCCTCCAAGTAGCCTTCGGTCCCTTTTGGGGAAATTAGTAAATCGTACTATACTTACATTTTCTATACCACTGGAGACATCACATGATACAACTGTGCTTGTTTCTCTATCTGCTCTCTCCACAGAAGCCTTCTAAACAACAAAAATGTATTCAGGTTTACTATTAAGGGAACCTACAATGGTTAAACAACATTCTCTTATAATTCAACAACTTTCATGCCATTTCTGATGTAAATAAAAAGCAAAATCTCAACTTGCTTTAAACTTTATTTTCTCTAGAAGTCTCTACAGTTCATGCATGTGAAAATTCTTCACTGTCATAGTTAATCTGTTTATGTTTCCTTAATGTTCCAAATATATTACAAAATTATTATATGTAATAATATGGCTCATAGAAACTTCATTATTTAACTATGTGCACAGGTGGGCATCAAAGTGAACTTGCCATGACCTTTACAAAATCCATTCAATGTGGTATTATGTATTTGATTTCGGTTATCAACTATTTGTTTTACCCTACCTTGCTGACTTAGCGACAGCTTGTGGGAGAGGAGAGTAAATATTGGATACACTATACAGGAATACTACTAAAGACTGCAAATATGGAATTTGGAGGTTCTACAGGCTATTCAAATGCAACATGCAAACTACACAATGGACAAAAGTATTTTTATTCTTCATATGAACAGCACCTTACACTCGGACTTGTCAGAGTATGTATCTGACCGACATAATAAATTCAAGACACATCTTAAACAAATACCTTTGTAACAACTATGATTTTTTGTGTACAACAAACTGTACATTTTATTTAAAGCTTTGCTATATTTTATGCAGCTACAAGTAGAAAATTTGGAATTATGGGCAACATTCCTTCTCACATACATGGTCGGTCCGATGGACCGACCCCTCTTCACATCCAATTAACCAACACAAGTTTCTAAAGCAATTTTCATAGCATTTTTGTAACATAGGTACTTTGGGTTTCTTATAAATGTCTGTTTATATACTGTATCATGAGTGCAAGTTCCACAATGATAGCCCATCTTAAATCTACTCTTGATATTCAAACATTTATTCTGAAACAGTGTACTTGTAGCATTGTAGCATGTGAACTCAAATGTTAAATGAGTGAAAGATAGAACTATAAAAATTATATTACTATTTAAGCTTTTAAGCAGAATATGAGATTTATATTAAATACTTTGAAATAGAATATAATGAGGGATATATTTAGGCTATGAAGTAAGAAGAAAGCTAACTATACTGTTCAGAACTAAAAAAGTAACATATATATAAGATGAGTTCATTAGTTTGTAATAAAAGTAGTAAGTTATCAATGTTATAAAACACTCAAAATCTAAAGGCTATGATTAGAATGCACTAATTATCAATTAGATGATACATATGACAATAACTCTAACTTCTTGGCTAAATATTAGTTGAATACTTTCAAGAAAAACCTTTCTTAAGTACCAAACTCAAAAATGTACCAAGGTAAACTACAACACACACACGTATGTCATGCCCAATACTTCTACTAAACTAATAAACCTATAACAAGGTAATATATTTTAAATAGGTCAAATAAAACAGGCTCCAAGGAAGTGAAATTACAAACTTGCATAGCAGAATAAAAGTTTAGATGTTAAAAAAACACTGATATTCTTTAGAAGACATTTATTTAAAATCTGTTTGAACTTTGTGGAAATGTAGAACTTAGCATTTTATTCTTGATATAGAAAAAAATAAGACAAGTCCAAGTTCAATAACCTAAGCTGAAAGCTACAAAATTAGACATGTTGTATTATTTAAACTTTAAGCAATCAAGCACCAAATTGTTGTATACCTACAGTCTCAAATGTATTTAATTTTTTAAATTCAATATTCTTGAAGAAATTCTCCAAACAGAATGCATGATATTATCTTCATGAAAAACAGTGTCATGCTTACAGTATTTGTCATTCAGTTTATGCAAGTTTGTATTACATAAAATATTAAAATTATGTTTCTACCAACATGCTGATGTCACACAATTTATTTTCACTTAGTCTAAAACTTGACAATTTATCATGAACAATATGCATGAAATATGGATTTCATTTTCTTAGTTCTAAACACACAAAGCAAACATATATAGTCCCCAAAGATAAGATATTCAACATACAGAAGTACATTTCAGAACAGAAAGAGGATATGTTATGTTGGTCTAGTAATGCTGTTAATTCAAGAAGTGTGATTAACATAGTGTATAAGCTCATTTTCTTTTAATTATAGATAGACTTATGTAACTTCAATATAGTTCAGAATGCGAGTGTCTATATGAATTAATTTTAAAAAAGATGCAAGACCATGTCACATGTTTGTATTCTTGTCCCTACAATTTCTACATCTTAATGGTAAAAACTAAACATTCAATAGCTACAGGCATACCAAACCAAAACAAACTGGATTCATAATTCAAAATGCTGGTAATACATTTATTAGTTCTAATATTATATTCAACACTATTCCTCTTTTACAATTTTTTTTTTAATTATTTGGTCCTTTATCATGAACAACTATTTCTTGCCAACTTGGAAAAGGAATCAAAGCAATGTCCAGTTTGAGAAACATATCTAAGTGCACATACAGTATAATAGTAAAATAACTAAAAGTAGCTTTACAACAGCAAAATAAATAACAGCAATGTTCTGAACTTCACAACTTTTGATGGTCTCTAGATCAAGCATTCTGCATGACCATAATAGCCAACTCTAGCCTCTAACCTAAATCACACTAGCAAAATTTGGTCAATGTCATTCTTCAGAAAAAATATGTCGTATGGAACTGTACTATATGATGAAGAGGTACTCAGTATCTGTTCTAAATGTAACTTCACGTTAATGAATATGTGAAAACTAGTAAAGGTTTAAAACAATTCTAAATCTCTTACTTGCAAGATCTCTGCAATTATGTGATATACTAAACATCACACCACTGATTTTTGTTTTTTTATGCTTTTAAATATTTATATACATAAAATTAACTTATCAGAATGTACTATACTAGCTAATACAATCTATTAATTCATGCTATAAGACAAGAATTCAATGAAACTAACTTTTCATTTTAAAAGAAATTGCAAATTTGTGACTTTATACAAGTTTGAATTTTTTGGTTTCATAAACATTAATTAATTGTATCCAATATTACCTTGCAAATTAAACTTTCATTTAATTTTTAATCCATATATAATCTTAGCATTATTTTTTAGACGGAATATTGGAAGGTTTCAAAGCCCTGGATAATAAATTATGCTAATAGAAAAAACAAAATGTAAATAAAAATTTAGTTGTCATGAGTTCAAAGATATTGTAGATTCCTATCCATAAGAAGTCTTAATTGAAAAGAAGTATATAAATAACGTATGACAAAAGATTCAAGATTGTTTTCTTTCATCTTCTAATACTACATTTTATTAAGTATCCTTTCCAAGAGTGTAAGTAGAAAATAAATACCCAAAGTATGGAGAACCTGGGGTGCACCACAATTAATGGAGGTTTAGGGCAGAGACCCAATACAAGAGGAACTATTGGATCAATTCCCACTTCATGCTCTGTGATTACAGAGAAAGCTACCTCTTAACCTTTTTTTTTCTATTTTAATTTTGATTAGGAAATATTTGCTTGAGAAGAAGTCCTTTGTACATGCATGTTCATAAAAGAAACAGAGCCTTTGCTTTTTATCAGTAAGTTAATGATAGAGTGGGCAGTAATTATAATACTATTATCATCAGTGAATGAAGTTTGTTTTAAAATCTTGCATGATGGAAAGAGCACTGTAATTAGCTAATTTGTTTACATGATTTTTTAAAAGCATATGTTATACACATGTACCATACCATTCACATTTAATACAAGCTATATCACCACCACTTCCAAACATTATAAAAAAACATGCATAAAGACATCATTTATTTATAAAAAAAAATAGAGAAAATATTCCACAAAAATAAGGATGAAGCAAAGTGAAACATCAGCAATATATTTATTATTAATATTCTTACAAAGTTACATATTTTAATAACCTATAAGAACTCTCTTCTTAACAATATTAAAGCAAGTTGATTCTTCTAATGTGAATCTTTTTAGATGTAAGCAAAGGAAAAGAAGCATGCAGGTACTGGCACTGAAAGCTAAAGCATGTTGATAAATTACCACTTAAGAAGTGCTAATAAAACCACTGAAAATAAATGCAAGCTAGTACATTACATGCATACATGTTTCATTCCACTGATGCATGCTTTGTTGTTGTTTTTTTTTACTACCTGAATCATGTCCTCTTTGCTGCAATGAGATATGTGAAATTGTATCACGTCCGACTTCTCTTTCTCTAGCTGGATCACCTTCTCACGTCTTTTTGACAAACAATCTTCTCCAGAATTGCTCTCTTCTCTACCTTTACTTACTCCTTGTCTTAAAACTATTTTGATATCCTGTAAAGATTTCTTTGGTGACAGCCTTACTAAAAAGGACCGATCACTCACATCAGACTTGCTTCTTTTTGGATCCTGACAACTTCCACATTTAAACATTTTAGTTGTTATATTCCTGTGAGAAATATCACTCCGTCTGTATTTTGTTTTTTGTTCTTGACTGCATGTACTACTAACAACCACATTTGTTGTACATTCTTGTTCTGAAGAAGCAATACACTGTTCTTTACTTCTCATGACCATTTCTAAGGACTTTTTTCTTTCCCTTTTATGTACATCTGATGGGTGACTTTCAATACTACTCTGAGAAAACTCTACAACACCAAGCGGTTGTTCCTTTTGTTTTGGTGAGCTTCGCTTACATCTTGGCGAGAATCTTTTAAAAAATGTTGTCCATGTACTACCAAATGATTTCTTTTCAGAAGAAAATGACATGTCTTGAGCATTACCAGAAGGCATGGTGGATGATTTTTGAATGCAGTGCTTTCCTTTGGGAGAGGCAGGGGCACTCCGTGTTGCAGACATTGTTACTGATTCTGATGAAATACACTCAAACTTTTTTAAACAACAGACAGATGATGATGTGCAGCTTAAGGCTTGAGCATAGCTTCCAAGACGATAATGTTGAAACTTGGCATAAAATACTAAGCCTTTATACACCTCTAACTGCTTTACAGTTTTGATTTTTTCTTGCTGGTTAAGTAGGTCACTCTGGCTCATACTGCATTGCAAACATTTTTATTAATTTACTCATCAATTTCCATCACATCTTATTACAAGTCCACTCAAACTTAAGAATTTAAAAATAAACCAAGTGTTGAAAAATTCAAACACAAACCATTTAATACATTAGGCTACAGGTGTACAAGATGAATATGTATGAAGCCTTTCAGGCTGGAATATGTGGTCCATTTAGCCTGATGAGCTTGGTACTGAAAAAAGAAAATACTAAGTGATCAAAAACTTAGTTGTAATGTTATTTATACAATCTTCTTGCTAGAACATTATAATGCTACAGTTATCAACAGAAATATTAGTATCCTAATACAGGGCAAAAGGCCTGGGTAACTGTAGCCATTCACTCTTTGAATCTTAATGGAAACCAATATAAAAAAAAAAGCTAAGAATCAATGATTTAAAAATGATTACAATCTAAAAGTGAGGCTATGAATAGCCTCAAGCTATCTTTTGAAAAAAAAACAACAACAAAGGAGTGTATATCTCGAAACACCTTGCCATTTCTCACACCTAAAGCTTTATAAAACCTCACTGTTATTGGACTAGCTAAGTTGATGAGAGTTGAGAATGCTCAAAACTGCAGTTCTAAATAGGGTCACCCTACATGAGCTTACATAATCATACATATTTTCATATCACAAAATAAAGACCTGCAAACATGTCTCATGGTTTACATTCACAAGTAGTTACTGTAAATTATGAAATTCTATTCAGTGTATGTCTTTAATCTTAAATGCTTCTATAGAAAGTCTACATAATTAGTTATTCAGTATTGCTTTTAATGTTTCAACTACAGCTATGAATTTGGTGAAAAAAGTGAAATTTAACAAAATAAGTATTTTACAAAGAATACTAAGCTACTTCATAAGAAAACCTTAAACATATAACCTCAAGATAACACCAATTTTATTAATTTTTATACCATTATGCACATATGCAGGGGGTTCAGCTGAACCCCATATTTTTGTTACGTGAAAAAAACGTTGCTTATATAGTTATAGTGCAGCTGCTTATGGTATTTAATGTTTTCTACATAGTCTACATTCTTCTGGTGATACATTAGCATTTTTTGGCTTCAAACAGTAGCATGCTCCATGTCCCTATAGCATTGTTGGCTTTTGATCTTGCAAATTAGAAACCCCTTTACAAACATTATAAGTACAGGCCTGACAATAAAGCAAGATTTTATATTACCATAAAATTAAGGATACCACAATATAATATAATACATATAGTAATCAATACAATTACAAGTTTACTGTAAAGAAGATAAAAATATCTGTATTTCATATTTAATTTTTTACATAATACATATACACAAACAGTGCAATATACATAACTGACCTTTCTAAAAAAAAAAAAAATGCTGACTGTTGATTTATTACAATAGATTATTTTATGTCATAAAAACTGGGACAAAGCTTTTTTTCTTTTTTTATTGTATCTAGTTTCTTCTTATTACAATACTTGATTTCCAAGTGAAATTATAAAAGAATATCCAAGTAAAATTCACCAACTATCCTGCTTTTTTGGGGGAAAAAAATTAAAACTTACAAGAATTATTTTTGTTGATATACATTGTATGTATATGCTTTCAGATTTGTAACTTAAGATGCTAAATACTAAATCCAAACTGCATTTCTTTATAATTTTACAAGCAGGTTAAGAAACCACCAAGCTTACTTGGTTGTGATCTCTATGTATGTGAATAAACAGGCTCTTTTACAGTGCAGAGGTACTGCATTCATCATTGGTCTTAATTAAAATACAAAAATTAATTGAACAAACAGCAGTTTTAAGACCTTAACTGAGGTTAATGATGAATGCAGTCTCTGTATGTCTTATCACATACTTAGGCCGCAACTGTAATATATTAAAAGCTATAGATCATTACTAAACATATTCTAACTTTCAAAATTATCATTTATAGATAAAATTATAGTTTTAGGGTAATTTTTCACTCAGGCAACACACCAACTGAAACAAGTTTCATTCAAAAAATCATGACAAAGTACCACAGACATTTGTTTTTTGTATTGAAGAACTATTAAATTTTTGTGTTTGTAAAATTTAGCACTTTCTTTTTTGAATCATGGCCAACTTATTTCCTTGGCTTCCCCTAACTACCACTTATGTGTTTGTTAGCCACCAATTTAAGCAATTACTAGGAGGTTTTTTCAATGTTTTAATGTGAATATTTGTAACCATTTGTAGTTTTAAATGTTTAAGCATGATATATACTATTTAGTACAAAAATGACACTGGCAATAGTTCATATAAAATGAAATTCTTAAAACAAAGACTCTTTAAAAAACAAAAGAAAAACTTGTCTTACGTAACACAAGTCTTAAAGTTTGGTCACACTTGTTCTGCACAGTCTACTCTCTATCCAGAAGTTACACTGAATGCAACTGTTCACATGCTAAGCACAATGAGAACCCCACCCTGTCTATAGAAGTGTACTTTACTAACAGGAAATAGCCAATGATATTAGTATATGTTTAATCTCCTGTCTGATCCCAACAAGCCATATCCTATAAATCTATATGCAACAGACGTGCACACACACACACACACACACACACACATATATATATATTGTTAATACCTTTAACAAAGCAAGGTATGTTAAATTCAATAATGTCCACCTAAACAAATGAATGTACATTTCACTGAACCATCTTTGTTATTCTGGAAATTGTGTAATAAAGAATGAAGTGTGAAATCAATAATTTACAATGTTGACCTCATTCTCCTCTGATTTCCTAATTTGCTTTCTCAGTCCTTATTTATCTTGTTCACTCTGAAGTGTAAGTTTTAGGATTAGAAATTATAAAAATTTAAATATACAACTTTATAGCCTGGATAAATTTATGTAAAACTTCCAATATACAGATTTCAAGAAATTAATATTTGATATTCATAGAGTTTAAAGAATTGCATTATTTTGGTGTCATTGATTAGTTTGTCCAGATATGAGTGTATATATAAAAATAATCAGTATAATAATTACTCTAATGAAAAATATTTATATAGTTTGATCTCCAATAACACTATTTTTTGTTTTATAAAAACTTCTACTCAAACTGTTTTCTGTTAAAACAGGGTTTTCAACAATCAACAACTGAACTTATAACTTAAAATTACCTTTATCTTACTTACAAATTAGGGATAATTATTACAATTCTTATATTGAAAACCAAAGCAAATGTCCCTGATTACTACAGTATATCAAAAGAGAAAAGCTAACAATGCAAAGATAGGAGAGAGAGAGAAAAATAATCATTATACTATACATAGTTATACGTTACTAACCTTTTCAAGCCTAATACCTTAAATTCCAATATTTCACCTTAGTCAATAGATGTATTAATATTTTATCATAACTTCATACATTTCTAATTATTGGAAAGACCAAATTATGTTGTTTCTTCAAGTTTTTAAGCACAGAAACATCAAAAAAAATTCAGCACTTGCCTCATTCACTCACTTAACAATTACTTACTATAGTGTGAATTAATGCCACTTTTGTATATAATTATATCTATACCAATTTGAAAATAAAATGTCAAATATGTTGCTTTACTGCTAGGTCAACTACTACGACCAAAGATGGTTAATGATAAAAACACCATTATACACACTATAGTACAAAGTTCACATTTTGGTCTGGTTTTAAACTTCAAAATAAGAGTTAAAGTACATAATATTATCCCACGATGATTATCATTAGAAATAATATCCATCACTCATATTATCAGTATATTAAACCTGTCTTCCACTAACACAATTACATAATAAATAGTACTCAACTGTTTTAAAGGTAATAATTTTATGCTGTGCAAATTATATATAAAATAATTTAACACTTAATAAATTTGAAGAAATGTTATCACTCAGGTAGCATTCTTGATTCTACTTCCTGCGTTTATCAAAAGTATATTAAATATATTATTAAAATAAACCTGAAATGGTGTTAAATATATTTCATAATGGAAATAGCAAGAGCATTATCAATAAACCATATTTTTTCAAACATGCTAATCTATATAAATTACAATAAAGAGAACATAAATTATGAAAATGTACATACCTATAAATAAATCTTCAATACACCAGTTTGATATGAATAGGTATAAATGTGTGTGTGCTCCTTCCAAACTAAATACATTTTATATAGTGTGCATAAGCAGGTGATACACAGGAAACAAATTTGTCACTGTGGAGCCAAACGTGTATTACTATGTGTGACAACTGTCAGACCATGACTCCAGGTGTTTAATGCTGTTCAATGGGCAACCCCAACTAGTAGGCAAGTTGATTTACTGTGATTCGCCTAGAATTAAATAAGGAGCAGCCATCTGATACAGCTGCTATCTCAGCAACTCTACCATAACTTCCTGTTTATGTATTATGCTCTTTAGTTTAATTTTACAGAACTCTGACAACATTAAAACATGTTATGTTCAGAGAATAGATGGACAATATAATTATTAAAATTACACCCAGCCTGAAAATGAAACTAAAATCATGTTTTTTTATACAATAAACCACTTATATGTCATATAAAAAAAAAAAATTTAAAAAAGTAAATGA